TGGTATGAAGGTGGGGAGGGGGCTGCCTGTGGCAGGAGCTGGATCTCAGCTGGAGGAGAAAAAGGTGCACTCCCCTGTGCAGCAGAGTGCCAGAGGAGCCCAAGGAAGTCCTCATCTGCTAGTGCGTAAGGCTGGGCCTGGGGGCGAGTGGCAACCACAGTGAAAAGATGGAGGCCAATCTTTTTGCATGTACCCTGGATAGCTCAGTTGCTAGAGCTTCAGACTTTTAATCTGAGCTGCCAGGGTTCAAGTCCCTGTTCAGGTGTGCATGGGGCCTTGTTCTAGATGTGGCTGATTGACTGGGCTGGTCTCAGGTTTTGGCTAGGAGGCAGGGGTCCTTGTGGTTGTGGCTTCCCTTTTCCTGCTGCTTGGCCTACAGCCATTGATTGACCTGGAAGCAGCCCAGGGCTCCCTTTGGCCTCCCTCCCGTGGCAGCCAGATAAGGAAAGAGCATCAGGTGTTCCTTCATCACCCTGTCATCACAAGCCCTGCAGGTGAACTGATATCAGGCCACCCTATGGAAGCCAGGTAGGCCAGCTCGATACCTTGGCCACCACCATCCCACAACAGTATGGGCTTGGGGGACCATGGAGACAGGGGCCAGAGGTACCTTAATCAAGGTAATTCATCATTCTTGCACAGGTGTCTCCCTGTGTGTTTACCACCAGGAGATCTGGGTACTAAGAAAGGACATGCCTAAAAAATGCTGGGAAGCACATATGGTAGCAGAGTGTCCTGCCTGAAGCCAAAGCTTGGCTGGCTGGAGATGCACTCTGGCCTGGCTCCCTGCTGCTGGATTGCTATGGCTGCAGCTCCCAGAGCCCCCCAGGTAAGGCTGCTGTGCCTAGCCCAGGTGCTGGCCCCAGTCTTCCCTACCCCACCCAAAGCAACTTGCTGCATGCCACAGTGGGCATGAATGGGTTTAATAGATTCATGGATTGGAAGGCTGGAAAGGACCTGAGAAGATCATTGGGTCCAGCCCCCTGCACCAGGCAGGAAAGACAACTTAGGTCAGGTGACCCCAGTAAGGTGACTGTTTAGTCTCCTCTTGAAGAGTTCCAGGGTAGTTGATTGTACCACCTCTGGAAGGAGCTTATTCCACAGTCTGGACACCCTAACTCTGAAGAGGTTTTTTCTAATGTTGAGTCTGAAATGGTCTTCCAGGAGGTTGTGACCATTACTCCTGGTTTTCCCCAAATGTGCCCTGGTGAACTGTTTTTTTACCAATCCTCTGATGTACTCCTCTGACATAGTGGTAAGCTGCTACCAAATCCCCTCAGCCTTCTTTTTCAGGCTGAAGAGTTGTAGGTCCCTCAGCCTTTCCTTGTATGGCTAGCTGTGCAAGCCTCAAATCATATGGGTGGCCCTTCTCTGGACTCTCAAGTTTTACCATGTCTTTGTTAAAGTGCAGTTCCTAGAACTGGACACAGTTCTCCACTTGGGTTCACACCAGTGTCGAGTACAGTGGAAGAATCACCTCCTTGGTCTTGTTGGAGATGCATTGATTGATGCATGACAGAGTATTATTTGCCCTACTAGCAAGAGAGTTGCACTGCCAGTTCATATTCATGCTCTGGTTATTACTACCTCCAGGTGTCTTTCATTTTCCCCAGGTCTCTATTATTACCCCCAGGTCTCTGGGTTGTATGTTTGTGCACTGATGATTATGTGTGTGTGTGTGTGCGTGTGTGTGTGTGTGTGTGTGTATGTGTCATTGTGTGCATGATATACGACAGGTTGGCATCATCAAGCTTGTAGTTGTGCAGGTGATTTTTAGTCCTCAGGTGGAGCAATTTACATTTCTCAACATTGAACTTCATCTGGAGCTGACACACCCAACTTGCTAGCCTGTCTAGATCTGCCAGCATCTGTAGCCTATCTTCAAGTGTGACCACACTTCCCCATAACTTGGTGTCATTACCAGTCTAGGCACATGCACACCTATCACCAATTCAAGCACCTACACTCTATACATACCAAAAGTTAGAGAAAAATCAATTGTCAATACCCACACACACAGTACAAATACATGGATTACTAATTCGTATATCATGCACACAATGACATATACACACACACACACACTCATCAGTGCACAAACATACAACCCACCTACACATGCACAGAGGTAAGTTCCTAACTTGGATGGTACAGTGTGTGTACATGTGTGCTTGAGGTACCTGGGATACCTGAGGGAAGGTTAAGGTAAGAGAGAAAGTGTAAGGACTGAAAGTTGCTGGAACCAAGAGTAGAACTGGTGGAGTAGAGAGAAGCTGGTTGAGGAACTGAGGCTTGGGGTTACTTAAGGTCAAGTGGCCCCAGGGTTAATTGGGCTCACCTGATGCCTGGGTGGAAGCAAGGGAAAAAGCCTGGTGACAAGGAGGAAACAGCCAGGAGACAGCAACTGATAGATCAGGGGAAAAGGCAGTGGGAACAAGGGAATAACATGGGCAGAGATCAGGAGACAACACAGTGGAGACAAGGCAATAGAAGTGGCAGAGATCTGGAGGAAAGGCAGTGGGAATGAGACAAAAACAGTGGCAGAGTTCAGGGGAAAATGCAGTGGGGATGAGACAATAGGAGTGGCAGAGATCAGGGGAAAAGGCAGTGGGGATGAGACAATGGCAAAGAAACAGGGGTTTGCAGGCAGAGAGGAGTTCAGGATGGCTGGAGCCACAGGAGCATGGGACAGGTGTTGGAGGTGGTGTTGAGCCAGAAGCAGGAGAGGGAGAAATGAGACAGAAGTTAGAGGGGCAAGGGTTGGAGAGATTGGAGCAGGGTTGGAACCGTAGTAAAGCAGAGTCCAACTCAGGGTTCCAAATAACAGTTTTATTAAATGACCACTGTACTGTACAGCTTGGTTCCCACACACTCACACAAGCACTCCCACACACACACACACAATTGTATCAGGAGAAACAGACTCAGTGGAAGGGTTAGATTCCATGTAGGGAAGAGAAACAGAGTCCAAGTCCTTGGTTGAAGAGAGGGTGGGGGTGATAGCTACTTATCCAGCCTGGAAGCAGGGTCTTTGTCCAGGAGGTATTGTCCAGAGGTGGGTTGCCGGCAGGGCCTCTGGGTAGATAAGTGGTGTGGCATGGTGCTGGTCCAGATGGAGAGGGCATCCCAAGGAGTCAGTCTTCACTACTTCTTTTTATGGGGCAGACTACCTCTGGCAGATCTCCTTTGGGGAGGGCCTGTCCTGGTAATGTCAGTCCTGTTCCAGAGGTTTCCAGGTGTTCTTACTGAGCATGTGCAGCCTTGGCACAATGGTGGGTTGCCTCATCTTTTGTTTCTTGAATGCTGAGGGTGGTTCCAAGGGCTGGATCATTGGTCCAGATATTGGTGTTGATGGTTCGGTCATTCAGAGGGAGGTATTTTTAGACCTACTTCCATTGTCTCTCAAGCACCTTCATTCATCCCCATTCATTCAGGAATCAAGTTACATAGGAGGGGTAGGTACGAGTCATAGGTTGCACAACAGGGCATGGGGACAAGATGGAGACTTGACAAACAAAATGGAAACTTGACATGACTTACGCTAATTTACATATGTAAGTCTAAATCATATAGCACCAGTAAAACAGTAATATAGAACAGTAAAAATCAATATAAACATAATAATTATACAATATAAAGAAGGAGAAAAACCAAAACAAATACAACTTGCTACCTAAATAAAATGCTGAAGCTTATCCTATGTCTTAGCTCACTTATACTTATCTATAGGGAGAGAGAAAGTCAGAAATGGTTGGGGAAGGGGAGGGAATGCATTGTAAAATAAAATAGAAAACAACAAAAACTGTGGGGGTTGCTACAATTGATAAAGATATTGAAAAATACAGGATCAAGCACTGACCCCTGACAGGACACCACTGCCCACTTCTTGCCAGGATGACAGATCTGTTCATTAGGCCAGGTATATACTCACCTAACCATCTTGCAGTTAAGCCTACTATCTTCCAATTTTCTAGAAATAATATGGGATACCAGATCAAAGGTTTGGAAGTCAAGTCAAGGTTTGGAAATCTACCACTCTCTCTTATCCAGGTGGTGAGTTACCAACCTCCTTCTCCTTTTACGATCAGGTAAGATAAGACCTGCCTATGACGAAGTCATACTGGCTGTCCTTCAGAATCCTATCTTCTGCAATTCTATCACACACAGACTCCTTACTGAATTTTTCCAAGATTTTCCCTGGGATAGAAGTTAGGCTAATTGGCCTATATTTATCCAAGTCCTCCCTCCTCCCCTTCTTGAAGATGGGCACAAACTTGGCCCTCTTCCAATCCTCAGGGACCTCTCTGGAGCACCACGAGTTTTGGAACATTTTCACCCAGGCTCTGCAATGATGTTGGCCAGCTCCTTCAGCACCTTTGGATGAAGTTCATCTGGTTCTGCTGACATATATAAATACTTAATTTCTTCAGTTGATCACACACCAGTTCTACGGCTACATTAGGAAGACAGTCGTTTTTGCCCTGTTCATTCTGTACCCTATCTGGCATGACTTGCTCTGTGGCCCAGTGAAATAGCAAGGCAAAGTAGTCATTGAGGAGTTCAGTTTTCTGCTGAGTGTCAGTTACCAGTTGACCTGAGT